CCGTGAGGCCTCTTGAGTGATCTTATTTAAAAATGGAGAGTCCCTTCCCCTGAACTCCTGAAGCCCTTTCCCTGTTTCATTTTCCTTCTATACACTTACTAATATTTAACATACTACATTCTTTCTTTCAGTTTGAAATTGTTCATCTTCGGCACCAGAATACAAACTTCATGTGAGAAGGGATTTTTCAACTGTTGCGGGTAGTCCCAGCCCCCGACAGTCCTGACTCTGAGGAGTACCATGGCCATTGACAACCAACGGGATGAGTGAGACCTGGACTTCCCAACAGATCCCCCTGGGTTTGAGTGGGATGCTGTCTACCCAGACCGCTGCCTGTCCGAGGATTCTGACTCGCTGGGCCACACATTCCTGTGGGCAGGGACAAGCCATGAGATAACTGGGTTTCTCTGCCGAGCTGCAGGAGGCATGGGAGCCTGACAGGAAGGCGTGGTCTGTCAGCGAAGGTCTCTGTAAAGGAAGGGGGTTGGGCGTCCCTAATCGAAACATCAGAAATGCAAAACACTCCAAGGTCTAAAACGTTTTGAGCATGAACAAGATCCCACAGGTGGGAAATTCTACATCTGACCGCATGTGACGGGTCACGGTCGGACGTTGCGATACAAACGTACCACGTGAAATTACCTTCAGGATATGTGTACGCAGTGCACAAGCAACATTGCTGAGCTTCGTGTTTACACTCGGCCCCATCCCCAAGATCTCTCATAACGTACATGCAAATATTTCAAAATGAAAACTAAATCTGAAACACATCTGGTCCCAGTTACTTCGGATAAGAGATACTTACTCACCTTGAATAGACAGAATGTCGGCTAGGATGTCACAGGGTACACCGAACAGAGCTACCCCAGAGGCCGCCCGTCCAGTCGCTGTGTACCTCAGCTTGACACTGACTGCGATAGGGCCCCTTACTGATCATCACGCCCTCATAGCAGATACCCTGGACCTTCGATAGGGCACCAGGACTGTCCTGAGTAAGTGACGTGCTTCTCCGTGTACCCCAGCAAGGAGCACTCAGCATCTGGGCTGGTCTCTCTCTCACTCACAAAAGAATAAATTTCTAAAAAAATTACCCACTCGGGTACATTTTTTAATTTATAAAGCAGAACATGCATGCACGCATACACATACAC